ACAGAAGCAAAGACAAAAGAAAAACGTAGAGGCAATGGCAATCGCAATCGGCAATCGATCTGCACACTCGACATTTTGTAGCTACGTGTGTCTGTGGGGAGGGACAAGCGACTCATGTAACGCTACACATAAACGAAATGAAACGAAATGAAATGAAACGAAACCTGAGCGATTGCAGGGAGCGCAAAGTTCTCACGGCGAATTACACAAAACGCCGCACATCACGTTTACAGCAATCAAGACTCAACGCACCTCCCTCTCTCCTCACTCCTCTGCCCTGCTATGATCTGTCTGCTGTGGTTCCATTCCAATTCAAAGCGAGGCGAAGCAAACCAAAGCAAAGCAAAGTCAATTCACTTCACTTCACATTTTACTTCATTCACCACGACGATCCGCACTCTCAGGCTTTGGCTATAAATTTGTACAGAGGCCCAAACGTGAGAGAAATGCAAAAATGTCAAATGTAATAAAAATAGGAAAGAAACAAAATAATAATAACAGAAGAGCAGACGAGACAAAAAACTAAATACATAGACCCAAATAAGGGCTAAACAATGAAAAATGTGAGTCGAGCGCTAATTAAGCAAATTAGTGGAAAAAATATTAACAAAAATAAAAAAGAATTGAGATAAAAATGAAATAAAACAGCTGCGGTCAGCGTCTGGCTATATTTTCTTAGCTAGTTTTCGCTGCCGCATTGTCAACAGCACAGCACAAAATTTGACCCATAAAATTTCCCACAAAATTATAGTAATTTTCGCTAACTCAATTTGACGAATGGAAAAGCGAGAAGCGAGAAGAAAAACACAACTGGGGGATTAGCCGGTCGCGACTCTGTGGGAGTCGATTGCAAAAGTAGCCGAAAATTAGCTAGAGAAACGTTGAAAACAACACAAAAAACACAGCTCAATTTTCACTATTCAGTTACTCAGAGGCTGGCAGACACCCCACCCCCACTGCGACTTGTGGAGGATGCCGCATAATAGTAGAGCTTGCAACAGCTGCCAGCCAGCCAACAACAACTACTATTACAAAAGCCGCAAAACAAAAGAAGCTAAAAAGGCTAAACTATTGGTAAAATAAGCCACAGTCCAGTGGAAACTGAACTGGAAACTGGAAACTGCCTCGGTGGAGCGACCCATTGAGATCTAACGAGTTCATTCGAGCCATTTAGCAGCGGAAAAACTTTGCGTTTAGATCGAACTTAGATAGTTGAAAGCATTTCTTAAGACTTCTTTAAGTGCTGCCTAAACCAACTAAAAGTGTTTTTATTTGCATTTGCTTTTTTATTAATAAAAAAGCAGATTTGCTTTTATTTACTTTTTATTGCATTTACGTATGCCAAGAAATCATTTATAAAATCAATAAAAATAAACTACAACTTTTTTTTTCATTTTTGAATAATCAATTATTATTTATGAGCCATTTGCTATTGCCATTGCAAACGCAGTTACAGCTGTCGAACTATAAAATTTTAACGTTTCTCAAAACCAATCAACACTTCGTGCTGGAAGTGTTTCAGCTTTTTCGCCCTCTGTGAAAGCCTGGCAATTTCCGTCCATTGCATAACAGCATTGAACCACTGTGCGTGTGCGACGTTCTCGTTTCACAGTTGTGGGAGTTTGTTTTATTATTATTTTTCTGATGTTCAAAACTAGGCAAAAGTCTCTTATGCTAGACGCTGGCAACCACAATATTTCGAGTGTTCGTTTTGTTTTTGTTATTTGTTACGAATACGTGCAACAGTTCAAGTGGGCAGACGGCGGCGGAGGCACCACGATTGCAACATGGATTTTTTTCAGCTATTTTGATTTTTGTTGTTGTTGGAGGATGGATTTTGACATTTTTAGCCACAGAGAAACATAATTGCTCTCATATATAGGCGACCGTTAAACACCCTGTAACAGCTGAACTAAAAACAAACATATGAATGTATTCCTAAAGTATAAACATATTGATGAATATTATAAACTTTCAAAATATTGAATTTCTCCCAGTTATGCATTTAGATATATTTCTTACAGGGTATCACAAGTGGCGGCCCAAAAAATTCATTCAGAAATTTGCAAAACATATGCAATCAATTGTTACGTTCACTCACTCTCTCCCTCTCTTTCTCTTGTTACAGTTGCAGCGCATGCATGAAGCAATTAATGACACGTGTTACCGTTAGAAATATGAAGAGAGCACGGGATAACGGACTGACCAACACAAACACACATGCATTTACTGCCGGCCAGAGCTGATGTGCCGCAGAACCAAAGAGGACATGGAATGAGCAAGAGCAAAAAATGAGAGCGACACTAATACAAATGCCAAAAACAAAAACCAGGCCCCTTCCAACCGACGGCAATGGCGACAGCTGAATAATAAATTTAGCACAGCTCTTCGATTTTTTCGCCTCTTCTTCTAGCTTGCTCTTGCTGTTGTTATTATTGTTCAGCAGTTGTTGTTTTGTTGGGTAACAGCGACAGCTGAGCTGACATTGACACTTTTCGTCGTTTGCTTGTGGCGCAGAAAATCATTTAAGGTTATTTATAAAAGCATAAAATACAAAAAGATACAAAAAATATGTATGTGAAAGAGTTCACATACAATAGCACTGTAAAAATTGTCCAGTTGCTTATTGTCCGCGTGCGGTTGGTCAGAGAGAAATGTTCACAAGAAAACGTAACTACAGTGCAAACGAGATAAAACGAACAACTACTAAATTATTAATGAGCGAAAAGGGGGTTGAAATAAATATTTCAAAGCAATTGATACCTTATTATTGCTAAATGTGTTTTTCTCTAGCGTGCCATACATTTAGTCAGTCTATACTATTTAGTGCACTGTATCGAGCTTTTACTATACACTTTTCTCTTTTGCTCGTATATCGGAAATCAATAAATTACGTCTGGGCTTGAGGTTATAACTACGCTGTGGGCCCACTTCCCGACTCTTGCAGATATCAGTATGTATTTTTGTTATATTTTCCATATCTAACCGCAGCCAACTTCGTGTTAGGCCTGCATTATCAACTTATGCATTTATTTACATACAATTATTTGCAATAATGTCTTCATTGTTTGCTGTTTCCCTTTCTACACTTTTTTTCGCAGCTCGAACTCGCAGCTTGTCAAACGAACCACGAAATCAATTCCAATGGCCATTTCCCCCTTCTTCCAGTCTGACAAGCCGTTCGTTCAATTTCCGCGTCGTGTTCAACGCGCTTAACCTTCAACTCGCATTAAAGTCAATTTGCTGTTTTTGATATTTACTTGTGTTGTTTTTTTCTTCTTTTATTTTGAGTGCTGCCTGTGCTTTCACACCCTCCGCCCACCGCAACGCAGCAATTAAATCAAAATTTATGAAGTGATTCTAATATCGTGTCGTTGAGTGTACGTTGAAATTTCCATGCTCGCATTTTGAATGAGCTTAATTGTTGACGATTTTCTATGTCTGTGTGTGTTCATGTGTATTTAAGTCGCGACCAGGCAAAGCACCGTTAAAGGTCAAACGAGCATTTAGCCAAAGACGAAAAAGGAGACAGCAACAGCGTGGCAAAACGAAATGGCAACAGAGCAAATGGAAACTGAAACAAGCAAGTCACACAATCAATGCCCATGCTCCAAGACTATTTCTCTTTCTCCTTCTCTTTCTCTCTCTCTCTCTCTCTCTCTTTCTCTCTGTTCCTCTTATTCGGTCTTGAATCGTAGTAGAATTATTACTATCCAAAGAAATAAAAACTTGTTTCTCAATATCAAGTCAACCTGCGTTGCTGTTGCTTGGTGATGTGAGCGAAGCAACGAGCGTTGAATGCACTATAGATAATAAGACGTTTTACAATTACCAAGCGATCGATCGACGGGAAAGTCCCTAATAATTTCCTAATAGGGAAATTATAGTACTTTAACGTAAATTTCACACTTTTAGTTAAGCTACAATGTTCAACTAATTCCAACAAATGGAAAGACTCCTATTAAAATACAAATTAATTAAATTGATTAAACTAAAAAACACCTATTGCTTAATGTATATAATGTAACATGTTAAACAATCAGAAAATTCAGTAAACTATAAATGCGAGAAGGTTCTAAATTGTATAAACATATACATATATATAAATTCTCTTCTTTAGGCCTATAAAAAAAATTCCCCCATTGTCGTGAAACTACAAAGCACATTTCATCACGCTTCTATTTTTTTTCCCGAATTTTAAGTGTTCAACATAAAAAGAATCGATTTTTGCCACACTGTGCGACGTTTTTGTAGGAGGTGACGCATTGCATTGCTCGCACGCTCGCACGAAACTTGCCGCTACTTGAAGTAACTGTGAAAGGACTGCATTGTGGGACAGTGTGGCAGGCGGTGCTTTTTCTGTGTGTGAACCAAGGGTTGAGGGTTGCCACCTGACGGCAGAAATGTGCAGGGGATGACAGGAAACGCGTCCGGTAAGGAAGTGACATAGAGCAGAGACCACTGCGACAAAGGAAGTGGTTAAAAAAAATAAAACCAAACAAGCGACAAAACGCTAACAGCAACAACAACCACTGGCGCTTGCAGATGCTGTCGCTGCCGACGCCACTGCTCATGGAGCTGCCGCTTGTTTGCTGCTTACTGGTTACAGTTACTAGTCAAAGCAAAAGCTCGATGCGCCGTAACCGTTATTGTTGTTGTTTGTTTGTTTTTGTTGCTGTGCCAATTCTAAGCGTTGCATTGGCAACAGTCGCGCTTCGCCGGCTTTGCAAAGCTACTGCTGCTGCTGCTGCATTGCGCGTAATCAGTGAAGCAACAAACCGTGGCAGCAACAAAAACAACAACAACTCCAATAATAAAAGTTGTAATGCGGCTACTGCTGAAGAGGTAGCTAAAAAGTTTGATTTTTTTATACTTTATTTTTGCCGTATATGTATTGAAAACTCGTATGCAGTTAGCTGTGAATGACACAGTTTACACTTGCACACACACACACGCATACGCATACACTGACACAGTGAAGTGAACTCCTTCTTGCTTACTTGACGTTTTTTTATATATTCTATTTTATCTCCAGGATTTACACTTTATTTCGGTTCAGTATTTACTGTTATATGTTGTACATTTGTATAATTCATAAATGTTATTGTTATTAAAATTTGCTATTCTGCTGATTTGTTGCTGCGCGCCTCCAAACAAAGTCAATTCGTAAAGTCACGGAGTTTTAGACGGCGACCCGACGACAACGACGGAGACATCGAAAACCGTGCGACCAAACATGCCAAAGGAAATTTCTATACTGAGGCAGGCAGCAAGACTTTGACAGCTGCCTGAATGACTGACTGGCTGGCTGGCAAATACACATGCACCAATACACATGCAAAATACACAGAAGCTGCCGAACGAAAGCAGAGCATACAGCCAAAGATGACGATGGCGAATGATTGTGTTTCGTTGTATTTGTTGTTGCAGTTAGTTTCTTTTAATACTGTTGGTTCGAAAGCGCCTCAGTCGCTGCACGCACACACTTGCACAGGCATATAGTATATATATATATATGTATATATATGTATACATATATTATTAACTGGTTTTCTCAGAGAGTAAGTGAGAGCAAGCAGTAAATGTTTCGATGTATGCTTTGCATACAAATGCGGCAGTCAAGCTAGACCAGAACATATTTATGTATACATATACACAACACACAACCACTTGTTTGACTCTCTCTTAATGTCTCTCTCTTGGTTACTCTCCTTACTACAAACACACTCTCTCGTCGCATCAGCTGAGCGACCAGCACACATACAAAAGTATATTGTACTTTTAGCGATACACTAGCTCATGTAGCAGCTGACAGCTGTCAGCGTTGCCAGACTGCAAGTACAGGTAAACGTAATAGTAGTAGAATCTACTACTATTTTATAAAACGGTAGTAAACAATTTTAAAAGCTATTTTGATTGAGAAAATAATATTTTCCATTAAATACATATAATTTTTTTTTATATTTACCCTTGTTTTAAGAATATGTATTTTATATTTAACACAGTTAAATATTGAGGAAACTTACCTGCAAGAAAAAGAGAAAAAATTAGTATTCAGAAATTTTTATTCAAAAATTTAATATGTAGAAACCTTAATTATGTTATTTTCAGGTACCAAGGACTTCTCAAAGTTTGTGACCCGCATAACCTCTTACGTGAATACCTTTGTAATGCCATTAGCACCCCCTACTCCTCGTTTTGTGTAATTATCACACGCTTTGTGTGTGTCATTGATAAGAAAGAGACCCAAAGACAAAGACAAACAAAATAACACAGGAACTGCATTTGGTTCACGACTTCCACGGAATCAAATGCCAAAATAAAAAAAAAACAAAAAAAGACGCGCCGTCATTCAACACAAATGCAATTACAACAACAAGAACAAGCACATCAGTCCAGCTGCTGTCGGTAGTTAAGCGTGCGAAAGGGAGAGAGCGAGATGGAGAGCTTGTCTATGCACAGGGCAGCAATTCGATGCGTTCTCTTTGTGTTGTCTTGCTCTCGTTGGTTCGTTCGTTGTCCTCCTGGTCAGTAAACACCTGTGACCGCCCGCATCGCAACTGTGCACCCTGTAGTCGTGTCGACCCGTCCGTAAGTTCATTTGCACTTCAAATATTTATTTTTTTTTTTTGGGCTACTCTTTGTACACACGCACAAACACAGCCATATGCACACATACATATGTATTTATGTACTGCAACGGCGCTGCTTGGCTGCTTTCTAGCGGTTTCATCAAGCAAACGACGACGACGATGACGGCGACGTCGACCGCGACGCCGCCGCAACAGCAGCAAGCAATTCGCCATTATTCGAATTGCTTTGCGCTCATTATTTATTGCAGCGACTTTTGCAGCCTCGTTGCAGTCGAGTGCAGACGGCCAGCAATCAAACGGCACACGATCTATCTTACATACACACATACACGTCCATTTCCCTCCCACTTGCCAACATACACTGGTAACTGTCTTAACAGTAAACCAAAAGAAAATTGCAGATTTAGATCAGCTGTCGATTAGAAGTGATATTTTTGTTTATTATAACATTCAGTTTAATTTGACCTATAAATTATTTGTGTATATAAAATCCCGAGTAAATTTCCTTTGCCTTGTTTATCGACAACAATATGTAAATATCATTAATAAATAAATACAGCCTAAATAAAATATTATTCAGAGTGAGAGAGATGCGGCAAAACGTTCACTTCCTGCTGACAATAACACCGGCAGCAACAACAACAACATAGATAGGCAAAAGCAAGCAAAAATAAACAGCACCCATTCTGCTCTCTCTCTCTCTCTGCCACTCTTGTTCTCCTCCTCTCTTGCGATCTTTAATTTTGTCTATGTGTTGGTGTGAGTTGTGTTTTGTTTTTGCGGCTTGTTTATTTGATGCTTTTTACTAATCTCATGTGTTTTTCTTAGCTTGCGGTGTGGCAGCGACGGGAGTTCCGTTTAGTCGGTCACGCCACCACACAAGCGACAACAACAGCAACTGCTGTGGGTCATGCGCACAACAAATGACGTCAGATGTAGCCATCAAATTTGAAAGTGCGCAAAAAAAAAAACGAAATGAATAAAAGAGCAAACTATGACTTTTATGAGGCGCCTCAAGCATAAACACACATACATACATATGTATATGTATATACATATGCATATGGACAAGCGCACACCCATTTGTGGCCAGGCGCTGTGTGATTTATGTCTGTGTCCAAAAGGGGGCGCGATAATACGAGCATTGCTAAAATGCGTCGTAGGTGTGAACCAGCATGCATTGACCTACCCTTTCCTCTCCCTACCCCACACCTACACCCTAGCTAGACAGTTAGCTATCAGCTTATGCCCGCTGCGGGGTTTCTTTTCGACTGCGTGCGTCTGCAAATGGAAACCCTATAAAGCAAACGTCGTTTGGGGGAATTTGGGTATGGGGAATTGCGGTAAATGCGCAGCAAACGCAGGACACAAATTTAGCAATTCCCAAGAAGCAAGTGATAAAATAAACAAGAAAAAAGCAGAAGTAACAACAGCAGGGCTAATGGACAGCAGTCGAAATCATAATCAGCTGTTTCTGCGAACGATTCGAGCAAAGAGAAGGGTGAGCAATAACAATTGCCATCTCACTCCAACACACAGCTATTCAGCTATGCATTTTTTTTGTTTGTTTATGCTATCCAATTGACTTGAACGATGCTAGAAAGAAATGAATAAAAATAATGGAAGTGAAATAAGACAATAACGGGTGCTCGAATAAAAGATACCCTTTAAAGGGTGTAATTATGAGACACAAGTGGAGCAAAGAGGAAAGTGAGCAGAGAAATAAACCAATTGGAAACATACTTCATTTAAATATTTTAATACAATTTAAAACAGTTTAGCTTGGTATGTTAGCATATACAAATGAAATGAAAAAAATGTGGAAATATATATTCAAGCAACATTTTAACTTTAATAAATTAATACACAAATGAGAATTGTATAGAAGAGCAATCAAAATGCATATAGTATATAGTGGACATAAGTATATCTAACTTTAATGGATCTATTGAAGTTTGTTTTGTAAATATGACGCGTTTCCTTTAAATCCGACGATATAATACATATGTATATAAATTACAACTATAGGAACAGTTGGCCATAAAACTTGTTGTTATGCAAGTGTTAAGTAAATTAACTAAATGACATTAAAAAAACCATAAATATTTGCTAAAAACCCAATTAACTTTCACAAATTGAGAAGCTTTACAAGCAGCTGCTCTTGCTACACCCCCTCCCCCCACTCGGCCACGCCACCCTCTCGCCTTACCGACAAAAACAGGTGACCGTCTCCTCCACATCGAGTGGCAGCGACAGCTGAGCATTGGCTGAATTGCTGCCAGCTCCACTCGCAGCTCCATTCGATTGGCCCTTGCCGTTGTTGCTGCTGCTGCTGCCGCTATTATTATTGCTGCTGCTGTTGTTGTTGCTGTTGCCGCTTTGCTGTCGCAGGAATGTGGCTGCGAATGTGGAGGACAACGACGAATGCATTGCGCTGTTCGACGCGGCACGCGGCGTGCCAGCTGCAGGCGTCGTCGTTGCCGTCGAGGAGCTGCCATCATCGGCCAGAGGCACCGAGGAATACCGCACGAGTATCGCACGGCTCACCCGATTGCTGCCCGTCAGATTCGAGATGGCCCAGTTCATGGCCCAGTTCGGCGGAACGCAACGAACGGAAATGGAACGGACTCAACCAACAGCCGCGTCTGGTGCCCCAAAAGCAACTGAGTTGAGGCTCTGGGTCTATGGCTGGGCCAGCGCTAAGAAGAATCGACTAAGCCGCACGACGTCCCTCTCTTCCGAACGTCCCCAACCCGCCCCTGCCCAACGACCCGTTACGAATTGATTTTGCCAACTGATTTGCCAGCCCTGTCAATCAATTCCATACGTGAAGAGTTGTCATTTTGCAACTTATATGTGCTTATACATATATGTATATCTCACCCCCTCTCTCTTTCACTACCCATACCTCTGTCTCTCTCCCTCTCTCTTTCTTCCTCTACTGCATTGTATGTCGCGCGCCTGTGCTTTTGCTTGGCTGTCGCCTAATTCAATTAGAGTTGTGCTAAGTGTGCCTCAAGGTCGCCAACTGCCACCCTCCGTTATTCTCATCCCTTTCACACAATTGAGGGTTGTTCCCATATATATTAGAGATGCCTAGTTATATATTATATACATATATCTGACATATATAACGTCGGCTAATTGCATTCCTGCACACACGTCTAACTAACGGTTACCCTCTTTAAAGCAGTCCAAAGTATATCTGGTATATCTCTTAATGGAATTCACTCAACAAATGGCCAATGGATCTTACATAATTAAAGTTAAGTTAAACTCTTCAATTGGCCAAACTTCTTTAGTTTCCAGTTTTCAGAAAATCTATATTATTTGATTACAGTAAAAAATATTTAGAAAATTGGAATAAAATCTTGGACAATTCAAATAAGTCTTTTAAGAGAAAACGTAAACTTTCATTTAAGAGGCTTTCTCCCAAATTTTCTTGATTAACTACAATATAAGCTCTGAAAATTTGGATAGTAAGTGATCTGTACCCTTCAAGTGTTATCTATGAGAGCTACTATTCAAATATTTTAAGCTTTAATACTTTAATTCCTTAACATTTATTTTTAACTTGAAGATAAAAACAATATAGTACAGCAAAGCATTATCGATATTTTTCGATTATATGTGGTTTTCACACATTCCTTTAATTATTAACAATTTCATATATTCACATTTCATATCTTTGGATTTGTATTTGAATTTAAATCAAAATATTCAAAGGTTTTTCTATTTTAATTTATTGACTGTTTTTCATCACTTAAATATATAAATTGGCATAATTAAACGAGAATATATATATTTACGTATGCATACAGTACAGATTTCAAAGTTTTTTTAATATAAATGTGTAAAAAAAAAATTTATAAAATATAATTTTGTTAAAATATTTAAGTTAAAATATACCACACGAAAAGTTTTTATAGTTAAATTTTAGCTTCAAAATATCGTATTTTCCATATTTAAATTAATTATAAAATGTCTATTTGAAAATTGTTTAACAATTCCAGCCACTACAGTATGCAGAGTATTGAGTAGTCTATATATTCATAAATATATTTATTTTCTTCAAATTCTATTGCGTTTGTATTTACTTAAAAGTGGGTGGGTGTGTTTGTGTGTGTGTGTTTATGTATGCCTTTGTGTGTGTGTTTATTTAGATCTATGAAACTGTTTGTTATTGTTGTTGCTATGTGTTTTGTTTGTTTTTACATTTTGATTACAGATTGTGGGTAAATTGGCAAGTTCATTAAACCGGCTTCGCTTATCGCGCAGCAATAACAAAAATGCGTAGAAACTTAAATAAAAACAACAAACACGACATAGGCGCAGAAACAATGGAAGTGAGTAGTGGAAGAGTGGGGGAGTGGCGGAAGGGGTCAAAAAGTGAGCGAACGAATGAGTGGGTAAGGCGAGGATAAAGACAAATAAACGATATCGAAAATGCAGTTTGGCCTTGATGAATGGACACGAGGAAGCAAAGTGCATAAATAAATGTCTGTGTGAGTCTGTGTGTGTGTGAGAGCGAACAGGCATGCATGCGTCTGTGCATGTGTGCGTAACTTTGTTTGTGTTTGTATTTATGCTCGTGTGTGTATTGGTTTGCGTGCGAGTACATAAAAATCAAAACACTTGCGACTTGACTTGCGTTACATTTGAGAAATCGATAAAAAAATACAACAAAAGTTGCCTTTTATTGATTTTGCGGGGCGGCGATAACAAAAACACAGAAAAACAACAACACCATCGAGAAGAAGAAAAACAAAAACAATAGCAGCAAATGAAACTCCTGCGATGGCGGCTAGGCCAGACAAAACAACAACAAAGTTTGCTTTTGACGGCGAAAAAGAGATGAGAAACGAGGCCAATTGGCGAAATGCCAAACGGCGACGAAGCAAAACGCAGAGGACATAAAAGACACCACCAAGACGAGGCGACAATGCGACGAGACGACGTTACGTCGCGATGTCGACCGTCGTTGTCTTTGTCGCTGTTATCGTCTTTAGGGCAAGCTGCATACTATTTTTAAAAAAATCATATCTCATTGCATTTGAATGTTTGCATTGGGGACTTATGCTGCAGCTGATTACGTTACGCACTTACCCCATCAACCAGTCGACCGTGTCGCGCAAATACTCCGGAATACGCTCCAGTTTGACGGCTGCTCGATGCTGACTGCTGATGATGCCTTTCGCCAAATATATATTTTTAGTTCTTGTTCTACTTCAGCTAACACCAACAGCAACAACAACACATCAACGACACAGGCGCACAAATTTATCACCTAGCAAACCAATTGACACTTTTTTGCTTCTGTTAATCAATAATATAGAAAAATTTCGTTTTTAAAACTTTGCACATCAAATTTTCACGCTTCTTCTTTACTTGTTTTGTGTGAGCCCGATACGTTTCGAGCGATACCCGTGGCAATCGATAAGCCAAACTAATCGATACTGTGGACAAACATCGAGTGACTTCTGCAATGGTTTTTCTCAGCTTCCAGAAACCCTATAGATTATAAAAGTGGGAAATATTAGTGATAAGCTGTAGCAATATAGTGTTTTTTTTTATGGTGCAGCGTTAACTTATGTTCATTTTTTAATATAAAAACTTCATTGCTTGCCACAGCTAAGCTACAACAGCACAACTGTTGAGCATTAACCGCAGCCCTGGTTAATGCAAAACAGCTGATGGAAACTGAATTTTATCATTCGCCCAGCTGCAAGACAGCTGACATTTATTTTGGTTTTCATTAAAATTATTTCAGCCATAAAATTTTAATGTTTTGCAAACTAAGTGCATTAAAGTTGCTTGAGTCGGAAGACGAATTTGAGCAAACAGTAGGAAGAATTTCGTTTGACTTGCGAATAGAGGCGAAGAAAACTTAAAAATTCAAGCTAAATGAAGAGAGTAACTTTTATATTATTTAAGTAATTTATTTATAGTATAACCATCTTCATTGAATCTGTGCTACGAGCCCTTGGGAGTTAAGTATAGCTGACCTCTCTCTTCTAGTCTATAAGCAACATTTTCGCAAGGCAACGGAACCCTTTGCTGAACTGAGGAAATTTGATAAGTTCTCTTAAAGTATTATAAATAGGAGAAACACATCTTGATAGCTGAACTATTTGACACCCCTTCTGCAATTTCTTTTCATTACAGCCCATTTGCAAAGTGAAAGTATTTAAGACAAGTTAATTTCTAAGATCATCTTAAGTTACTAGGCTTATTCTATCTATGACTGATTTATTAATTATTATTACTTATTTACTAATAGTTGACTTCATGATTTTCCTCATTATTGTTCTTTATTGTCGTAAGTAGTCAGCTTCCATACGCTCCATAACCTCCAGTCGACATATCCCAATGTGGTTCTAATACACTTTCATTCCAATTGGAAATGTTAATCAACGAGTTTTTAATATATGCCTATGTGACTAGACTCGAAAAATATTTAACCATCCAATTGGATAAAAAAAAACATAAACAAACTGCTGTAGAGATGTGCAGGACAAGAATTATCGCAATTGTGTTTCCATAGCCAGTGTATCGATATCACGATCTCTGTGCTAAAACAATCATTTACGTAGAACGTCAACACGAACTATCGGTATTCGGCAACAGTCGATATCTCTAAGTAAACGATACTGTTCAAGCAGTCGTCACATATTAAGTCACAGCTGTTTTCGACCAATATCGATTACATAAAATGGTACAAAATTTATAATAGATATTTGGGTAAAATTGTGAATAAAACTAATATAATACATGAAAAAATTGTTCGAAAATCGTTTCATATTTGAATGTAATGCCCATGCACCAAATAAAACCTGACCCACGGTCCGTTAAACAACACAAGACGAGCTCCATCATCTTAGCAGGCCTCGGCGTGGCCGCTGTTGGCTTCGCAGGCAAACACCTGCTGCGCCGCATGCCGCAGATGACCAGCAAATTCAACGAAGCAATCAAGAATCTACCCAAATTTGATGCGGAAAGCATGGCCAATGCCAAATACTACAAAGGTGGCTTCGATCCCAAAATGAACAAACGTGAAGCGGCACTTATACTTGGCGTCAGTCCAAGTGCCTCCAAGCTAAAGGCAAGTAGAACGTCGTATATGAATCATCTGCTAATCCTAGATTCTTGATTGATTACAGGTTAAGGATGCGCATAAAAAGATCATGTTGCTTAATCATCCAGATCGCGGGGGCTCACCTTATTTGGCGGCCAAAATAAACGAAGCTAAAGATTTTCTGGATAGTTCGAAATAAAATATTCAGAATATTGTAAATAAATATCTAAATAGACTTAAGAAATCTTCAAATTGTCCAAGTACTTGTTAGCCAAATGTGTGAAGCATTGCAGCAAGAATAATTAGTGATTACATGGATAATTTTGATAAATATTCCGCTTATATAAGTATTTTCTCTAAATCCAAGAATTTTGTACAAAAATTATATTTAATTGACTCAGCCGATATACGCGCGACCTTGCAACTGATTATAGAAACAGCTTCATTAGCCTTAAAGATTTTATAGTTAGCTTAAAGTAAAGCATATATCATTAGCTTTAAGCGTTATCAACTATTGTTTATAGTTCTAGGTAAGCTATTAGCTATTTATTGCTCTTAAAAGTTGTCTCGGGTGGGCAATCCCTCACCTAGTGCTTAATGTGGAAAGCCATTAAGAGAAAAGATAATACATTTCCATTAGATATAGCCTAATCGACTCCAAGTAAGCTAAGCTCTATATATATTAGCAGCTAACTCTCTGAACTGTATTAGTTAAGTAGCCATGCAGCTCGCTTGGTTAACATTTCCGGCTTTAGCACTCGCAGTGCTGCTCCAAGTTCAGGCTGGTCCCTTGAATGCCACTCCGGATTCCATTATAACCAATGGCTATCCGGCTGCTGTAGGGCAAGCACCATATATTGTAGGTCTGCTGTTAAGGGAGGGTAACATGGGAAGATGGTGCGGTGGCTCCATCATAGATCACAACTGGGTGCTGACTGCAGCCCATTGCACGGATCACATTGATTCGGTGAGCATCTACTATGGGGCTACGAAACGCACGCAGGCGCTTTTCCATTTGGAGGTGGGCGTCGAAGATGTGGTACAACATCCCGATTGGCCGGACAGCATTGGCAATGATATTGCACTCATACGCACGCCTCATGTGGATTTCTGGTCGCTGGTCAATAAGGTGGAGCTGCCTAGCTTCAAGCAGCTGAAAGAGAGTTTTGAGAACTCTCGGGTTATCACATGTGGCTGGGGCAGCACCTATGACGCCAGCGCCCTGCCCGACTGGCTGCAGTGCATTGACTTGAATGTGATTAGCAATGCTGAGTGCTCGCGCAGCTATGGCAAACTCCCTAACAGCGTTGTGTGTGTAGGCACACCTGAGGGCAGATCCATTTGTGATGGCGATTCCGGCGGTCCCCTGGTCACGTCTGAAGAGCCCAAGCTGATAGGCATCACATCATTCAGTGATGCTAGCAGCTGTGTCTCATCAGCGCCCGCCGGTTTTACCCGTGTGACCCATCACTTGCAATGGATACGTCAAATCTCTGGCATTTCATATTAGTCGCAAAAAATTTGTAAAACCATTAAAATAATCGATTAACAATGTATAACACTACAAAAATATCGATGTAGGGTGCTCAGTAAAGTCAGCCGTATCGATATTTGCATATTGAATGTATGGAAACTAGTATATCGTTGTCGACCAAGCAGTGCAATTGCAATTTTATTCAAACATACATTAATAATCCGATTAGTTTCGGACATTGCTATAGAATGATTTGAATTTTTGTAAATGCTAAAAACCCAAATAATTTGATGGAATGTTTCCGAAATTGAATAGCTGATGCAACGAATCCTTGAATCATGTAATAATTTACGTATTTATCGATAGGTAAACAAGAATTCATCGCATAGTTATACAATATCGTTGCATTGAGAAACAGTCTAGTTTTTTTGATTTATCGACAAAGCAGTATAACTGAGCTTGCTCTCAATTCATTTAAATTTGAATTGTTGCGCTGACTACATTGAATTTAATGGGCAGTTAACATTTGCGCCTCCAATGCATTGGTTGTCTGGCTAGCTGGTTCGATATTGTCCATGACATCACGGAACTGAACCACTGAGGCCAACCCATTCTGTTCCTTGTGAGTGTTCATAAGCTGCTGCCAAATCGTTTCGAAGACCGATTCGCTGACAATGTCCTTAAAAATTTTCATAAGTTGCTCCTTGGGACGCAAAGACTGAAAGTCGCTGGGCAGCAGGCCATAGAGCGTCGCTATATCCGGTGTCAGCAAATCCTTGACATGTGTATTCTCCTCATCTATCTTTTTGGAGCACTTCTTTCGCCCAGGTGTCACCTCCACCGGCTGCTTGCTAAGATCGGCGCAGAGCAGCCGATAGGTAGTATCCTTGTCGTAGACAGTTGCCGGCATGGTTGATATGTTACCCGTTGTGGGCAAGGGATGCTGTATGTTAAGCAACTGACAGAAGGTATCGTAGTTGACACGCTCGTTGGGGCAATTCTCGTCGAGGATCAACTTGAAGTGCGAGAGAGTGGTGCGCATCTTATAGATGTCTATATACAGATGCATCTGGTGCATCACCTCAAAGATCTTTTTCAACGGCAGATAACGCGTATGCTCCTTATCACTGTGCTCCAGCGCCGAGATCAGATCGAACATTTGGAAGTCTGCGCGCAACTGCAGCTTGTGACGCCACATGTTGAGGTGACCCAAAGCGTCTATTAGGTGTTTATTGCTCTGGCATGGTGATATATCCTCGATGAGCATCTTGCAATCACAGACTGGCGGCTCAGACGGCCTGCCAAAGGTCATACCCGGGTCATACGTATAGGGGTATCTGCAGGAGTCGGTGAGTCGAAGAGTTGAGCCAGAGAGATAGAAGAAGAATTGAGATATTGACTTACTTCTTTTTCTTTTTACCAAGGCGCGGATAGGTGCGATCTATAAAGTCCATTTGCTCCTTGCTGATGATGATCACATGCCCCGCGCACTGCTGCATGCAACGTTTCACCATCTTGCCAGTAATGTCGCTGTTGTATTCAACTCCATAGGTGGCCTGCCTGTTGAAGGGCTGGTTGTACCTACGTGGTGAGAAGATATGAGATCTATGATTCACAAAAAGACAGAGAGAGAGGGAGAATCTGGGTTGAACCTGCGATTGATTTGCTCTGCGGGAAAATAGTGATTATGACTGATCACGTATTTATCGTGAAATTTGCCGTATTCACGATTCACTTGCTCCGCCGGCTTTGGCGGAAGTACGGTGTCGTAGAGTCGCCCTCTCGACCTGGTCTCGCGCCCAAATGTGGTGCTCAAGTTGGTGATATGATCGGGCTTGGAGCCAGTCGGCTTCGCCTCGCCGAGCTTGGCCTGTTTGAGGTACATATCCTCGGAGAATTTCTCCTTGAACACCATGAAACGCGACTTGGACGTCTCGATGGCCATCAGCTCCGGCACACTGATGCCCGGCAGGCGCGGCGACTCGGCATACAACAAGCCAGCACTCTTGAATTTCTTGTGCTTGCAATCGATGCGCATCATATGCTCGGCCAGCTCCTCGCTGTGCGATATTTTCATGCATATGCCCGTCGTATTCGTTTTGTCTACAGACGAGGTCAAGCCAGCTGCACGGATATCCGCATTGCGGTCCTTAAAGCGTCCCGTGTTGGCCATTTCTACTTTTACGGGCAAATCTATGTAAGTTAATAATGTAAGTTTCACTAGGGTTTGGCTTAGCGTTTGGATGCCTTGAAGTCGAAATATTGATTGTTAATGCTAGGCTAGGCGCTTGCTTGACAACAGCTGATGACTGGAAGATATCCTTTAGTTTGACAGAACTTTGCATAGGGAAAAGCTCTAGGCAAAGCTCGTGTACTCGCATGAGTTGCCTGAATTATGAGACTTGCATAGAAGAGCGTTATTTACGCCTCTTCCTTACAGATAACATAAATGTTCGAAAACATGTGTCATATACATTGACATTTAAATAAATAAATAATTGTTTATTAGCTGAATAAGAACGGGATATTTTTAACTTATGCTTGGCTTGGCTCCAGCCAAACTATTTTGAGTAGCTTCAAGTATTGCGGTTTATTGTACAGGGTACAGTAGAGTCTAGGAAGAGGGATGAGTAAGAGCGTGCCTCAGTGCAGCGCGTAATTCTTTTGCAGTATGAAGTCCCAGGTGTCCTTCCAGCGCAAGTCGATAATTTCCTGGGCAGACATCTTCTTCGAGCCGTAGCTCAATGGCAAGAACTTGACAAAGGTCGCTGCGACCGCGACAAGCCAGAGGAGTAGCATTAGACGGTAGAGGCGCAGCAAGTGAAGGCCACGTCCGCTGCAATGGCGTCGCAGTAAGTAGTCCAGATGATCCAGCACAAAGCAGAGCAGCAGCAGCTTAAAGCCAAATGCAGGCAAATAGTTGTGCAGGAAGAGCGTGCGATCCATGAAGAAGTATGGCAAATAGTGCATCAGATAGCCCACAAAGAAGGTATCCCCAGCGCTGAGGAAGCGTCGCCACTCGCTGGTCGAGACGTCGAAGCACAAGCGACGACGACGCAGGGCATAGAAGATGAGGAGTGTGGCATAGATGATTAGGCCGGCGCTGGCCAGATACCAGATGAGCACATTGCCCAGCAAATAGATTTGAGCGCTGGAGTTGTCGTCCAGCCAGTAGGCGATGCCCTTGTCCAGCAGCGGCCACTCGTGCGGCTGGGAGCTGTACATGTGGCTCTGCAGCTGCTTGGCGTGCCACAGCATCTTTGTCTGCAGCTCCAGCAGCTTGGACCAAAAGGAGAGCCGAGTGCGCTTCGTGGGAATCATCTCTGCAGAGAGCAGTTGACGCTCGCGCTCACGCTGATCCTGAGCTGCAAAGGGGGTCAATATTATGATCTGGTATATCTTACAAGCTGTGTCTAGTCTTAGGCTTACTCTTGGTGTAGCGATGCTCCTCCACATTCCAGATGGCATCCTGATGCAGTTGCTCGCGATCGGCCACCACCTCGTGCTGGTTGTAGCCCCAGCTGGGCAGCTGTCGTCCGCTGAAGCGCAGCGCAGCGCCTGTGCTCTCGTGTATGAGTCGTATTTCCGACTTGATCGCATGCCAGTTGTCGCCTTCGGTCTGTCTGTTGAGGATCTCCACGCGCCACAGCAGCTCGCCCGCCATCTTGATCTCGTAGTCGATGTAGCAGCTAACCTCCTGGCATTGGGGCGTCATTGGGGCAGCAACGTCATGGGAGTTGAGAGCACGGCTAGTGATGCCATGCACCAGCTGGATGACATCACCATGTTTTATGGCATCTGGCTGCTCGGCCACTACGAGATCGTCACGCTCCGGCCGCTTGACAATCCACCAGTTGTTCACATCCTTAAAGGAGTAGCATGTCACCTGCTGCTGGTGCGAAGAGCCACGCTTATCCTTGTACCTAACAGGATACACAGCCGCATGCGAGTGCAGCCAGCAGGTGCGTCCATGCGTGTGCCTCAGCGTAATCTGTGATCCATGCACCACTTCCAGCGGCTGACCACGTGTGATCGAGGCTAACCCGCCATCGAGCGACGCCTGAAAGGCACTCGTCATGATCGTGTCGTGTGGCCCGGCTCGATGAAGCGTTCTCAAATGGACGTAGAAGACGCCCAGGTAAACGGCCAAAGGAATGCCCACGAACAGTAGCAGTCTGCCCACGGCGTGCATGCACAGTTGTTTATCTGTGGAAGTAGACAAGGTTGAGCTTAGAAGAATCTCTTATTTCTTATTTCAATGAAATATGGAGGAAAGTAAACAGCTTGCCTGAAAGACATTTCTCTCTCTTTCTCTCTCTCACTCACTTGTCAGAGTAGCATCGTAGAGCAGTTTCCAGAGGTGACGACATATCAAATAGCCAGCAAGTGCTATAGCCAGAAAGCCAACATATTTGATGCAGCCAGCGCAGGCTAGAAACAGCGCAGCTGCCGCTCCGCTGCTCAGCCACTTAAGGCTGCCGAGCGAGCAGCGCTGGAAGCGCAGCAGGCAGGCAATGCCCACAGTGGTGGCCAGCAGCAGCATGGATTCCATCAGAATGAAACGCGACTGCGTGAGCAACGCATTATCCAGTACGACGAGGAGGCCGCCAAGCGCTGCCGACCAGCGACGCAGCCGCGCTTCCAGCAGCAGATTGTAAACTGCCGGCGCCAGCAGACTTCCACTGAGAGCGGGCAGAAAGCGTAGCCAGAAGACGGGCACATTTGGCCCATAGGCAGACCCGATTCGTGTAAACGTGTAGTTGCCATCGTAGCCAGCGAAGCTGACTAGACCTGCTATTAGCTGCTTGCCCAGTGGCGGATGCTGATCGAAGAAGAAGATGTTGCGCATGTAAAGCGAAATGTACTTGCCGTAGTGCAGCTCATCGAAACTGAGAATTTAATAATCTGATAATAAGCTAATTTAAAGAGATATCTTAATATTTATTACTTACACAACATGTGCTGGTGTTGCCAGCTTGTAGAAGCGCGTGACGAATGCTAGCACAAACAGACCCCAGCTGATGAGATCGATGTGCAGACTAACGGTTAATTTCGCTCTCCCAACTCTGCTTGCGCTGACTGAGCTTTGTTTGTGGGGACTTACAGTGTTGGATGAGTCGCCGACGTCACACGAACACGACCGAGAACTGGAACGAGAACGGGAATGGGAACGAGAGCGCGATTGTTTTGATGTAGAGGTAGGTGTAGGCGATGATGTTGTTCTTGTCGACGTCGGCTTGGATGTCTCGGAAGTTAGAAAAGATTGCCGGCTCTCTGAGCGTCGACTGCGCTCAACGCTGCCGCGCAGTGGTGAATTCAGATGGCAGTTGATGTCGCGGCAACAGTTGAGCATGGCTGAGACTGCGGTGGTGGGCAGCATACCATTACAGCACAATGGTGAAGGTGAATTGCAGTTGACTGGCGCTGCCGCTGCCGCCGCCGTTGCTGCTGTTGCGACTGAGGTTGCTGAACGGCTGCGAAAGTGAAGTCTTTCGTTTTGCTCGTTGTTGGCGCTTTCGAAGAGGTTTTCCGCAACATTAGGTGTCTGTTGTTGTTGCTGTTGCTTTGACTTGGAGCGCGTTGTTTTGCGTCGCTGTACACTGTGACTGGACATGATGTAAACTGCAATTGTTGCAGCGTGAGAATTTTGTTTTGGGTTTTCTTTGTTTAATTTACCTATTCCCTCGCACTTTCACTTTTTAAATACTTTACGTACATATATATGTATGTAAATCGAATAATGCGCACAGTTCCTAATTTTTAGTTGCCACGTCTGCCAAGTAAACTTGTTGGTCGACGCTTTTGCACTATGCCACTTGTTGTTGTTGTTCGCGTTGTTCTGTTCCCTTTGTTGACTTTGATTCTCTCTGTTCACAAATAACATGCACAAGCGCCCAGCAGCCTCGAAGAAAGTTTACAACACACACACAAACAAGCGCGCGCACGCACGCAGCAGCAGCCGCAAGAGAAGAGATAACTATAAATATATTTCTGCTGTGTACGTGAGTCGGTGACGATGAGCCACACGCATATTTTAAGTTGTCTTTATTCTGCTCTTTACTTTGCTCTTCTTATTCGGCCACACTCCGCAACCTGCCGACTTGCTCGCTTAAGATCTCGACGCGCACTGACTTCGGCGGCCAAGGTGTCTGCGCAGCCGTAGTGGCTTGCTGCTCGCGCTGCTGACTGCGCAGCCAACGCAGGAATGCGACCCGTTTGCTGTTTGTGTTTTGACTGCGCCTGTTGCCCACTTTGATTCTTAACCCATTTCTACTTCACAGCCACTCTCTATCGCGCTCGGTCGCTCTCTTTTCCAGTCGTGCACTGCAATGGTCAGTAAAGCAACAAACGTAAACAACTGTTACTTTATGACAGCTTTTTTTTGGCATAGCGGATTTCAAGGTGGCGCGCGACAAACGTTTAGTAAGCCGCAAGAAAAATATTTTTTAAGTCTAGTACTTGTTTACGCTTAGCTTAAGTGTTTGTAAATTCTTTGTACATAAAGCTGTATATATGTGGGTTCTTCCAGATGCTCACAAATTGTACTTGATAACACTTAAGTGACAACACATTTAACAGCTGATAGTTGTTGAGGTTGACTTGATTATAGATAGATTTATATCAGAAATTGTTGAAATTTTCCTTTGTCAAACTTTTTCTGTTTTTCGAATATATATTTAAAACACCCAAGTCTTAATGGCCAAAATCTTATTAAAGCATACATGTCATCTAATTTTCTATTTAATAAATCCCATTTCATTGATATTAAAAATATATTTCTTTGTTCTATTATGACTTAAACATGTGTAACTCTATAAAAACTTCCAAAATTTATATGCAATTATTCTGAGTTTTATTTTATATTTTATTGCGGTTTCCGCTAATTTAATCATTTTCTTTGAAATTTTTCTATTCATCATCATGTTTTATTACACATTATACAAATTTGTTAAATATAATTAGTAATATATTTCCTATATATCTAATTGCATTTTCATAAAATAAACTTAGCTCCAATTTCGAAAAAGTTGAGTCAAACAGTGAGACACCCTAATGCAAATATATGTAGTACTTGGCGCTCCTGGATGTGCTATGATTTTAAATAGCAAAACTGAGCTACACAAATAAACACACACACACAGATAGACAGAGAGAGATAGTAAGAGAGAGTATTTTCTGTAACGACCATACGTAACGTAACGTAACGTAACGTAACTCAAACCTTTGTCTATTGGCTTTATGGAGACTTTGTCGGGTGTTGATGTTTCGGTCTCTGGGGGAGGCGACGTTCGTGCGTAAGCGAGACAGCTAGAAAGAGATAGCAGTATAGAATAGAAGTTGGGCTGGAATGGGGCACTGGGGCCATTTAGGCGTTGACTATGGTCCCCATTTCAGGTCTGGTGGTGCTGCTAACGACGATTGCGATGCTGGGCGTGGGTGTCTGGATGGCATAGCTGCAGCACGGAGTGCAACGCGACTGCCAACTGGAGTTGGGGGTGTGGAAATGGGGTCTGCCGGGTCCTTGCACCCGGCCGGCAAAACAACAACACGGCCCAAAAGGAGGCAACGAGTCGAGTTTGCTGCTGCTGTTGCTGCTGCTGTTGGTGGATTGGTTGCCAGCCTCTGTCTGTCTGTGTGTGTGTGTGGTGCCCCAGCCTCGCGACAGGACCCGCACAAGTGCAAGGATATTGTCGCCACCAAACGCCTGGCACATGCAACACCAACGCTGCAACATCCTCCGCCATAGCTGAGCCTCATTTCGAGAGGCGCACGATGGATGGGGCAGCCACTGGTCTGGATTTGGTTTTGGGGTCCTGGGCCCTGCCGTGTGCCACTTTGGGCAATGTTCGTGGCCGTGGCCGTGGCCTCGACTCGTGCGCTCGTTTCACTCCCAGCCAAGGCCAAGCCTGCTAAAGGACGACGACGTCGCCGTCGCCGTCGCCGTTGCCAACGACGATGCCAAACGGCGATAATGTGGCACAATGACATTGACATTGAACTAGGTCGAGGACGTTTCGTACCCTTCAGCCAACGTTTTTGGTTAATGGTGTCCGTGTCCGTGTCCGTGTCCGTGTCCGTAGCCGTATCCGTGTCCGTGTCCTTTTGGCCTGCCTCCCACTACCTCAACTCTTAAACACTGCCTGCTTAACTGTGTCTTCCGTGTCTGATTATGGCCTCTGTGCAGCATTCCGATTATGCCACATGCTGCGTCTGCTTATTGTATTGCAAGCCATTTGTTGCTGCCACAAAACTTATTAATGCACTTAGCATTTCATTTACTCTTGCACAGGCCCTCAAGGTCCTTGAATCTGAGTAAATAACTAAATGGAACCCTCAAAAAGTTTGCTTAAGCTAATTAAAATTGTTTTATATATGAAATTTGCTAAAGCACATAAGCAGTAAAATTATATAATTAACTTTAAATATTAGTTTAAATAAAGTTCGCTCTCAGCGTGAGTTTGTGGAAAAAGTGTAGCATACTTATTTGCGAGCGATTTGGCCCGCCTTTGTTAAATTTTCATTGCATACGTTCAGGGGCACTGAAAAATTTCTGTGCAGAAAATGTTTTTATTCTAATTAAATTTTGTTTGTTAAAGTTTACGTAGTGTAACGAATCGTATTTGAGACAATTATTAACTTAAAAATGAATTAACTACAGCTTAATATATTAAGTAAGATAAATATAAGGGAAAAATATTGAGATGTAAGAAACTTGAGTTGAAATATATATTTAAATAGATTTGATTATTGAGACTTATATGCGTAAATAATAAAATATACATAATTATATGGATGCTTTATAAACTGAGGTTAGAAAATATATATATATTTTTATAGACATATTTATGTGCTAATACAATTAGTCTACTTTTTGCCTATTGCAAAATTTAAATTTAAATTTATTATTTCAACTTGAGGATAAATTCGTAATTTTAACTAAAATTTCTATTGTTTGGTTTTTAGTGAAAAAAATAAACGGAAAGTATTATTTTCAAATAAAATTGGATCAATCTTTAATTGAATATCAAATCTTATGTACAGCTACAAGTTGATTAAAGTAAATCATCAAAAATTCATTGAACTATTTTTTTAATTTTATTCATTTATTTATTTATTTAATTTTTGTCTGCTTGTAATAATTAAATATGCATTAAAAATAGTTGGGTTTGCCACAACTTTAATTTCTCAGCACCTCAGAGCTCAATTTATGCCATTGACAGATTCAAGTATTTGCTGGAAATTTAAATTCAAAGAGTTCATGTGATTATATAGCAACAAAATGTAGAATTAGACCTAAATCTAGATAGTCGAGTGTCAAATAAGGGATTTCTAAGTTAGTAGAAGTTGATATCAGACACAAATGGCAAACCAAACATTTACTGAACTGAAGGCAAAGCAGTAAGCACTTTAAGCTCAAGCTACGTCTCAGCGAATAACTATATACAAATGTTTCCAGATTGATATAATATGAAGATATATGTATAAGTTTTTGGTATAGAAATCAGTTCACATTTAACTATAACTTTAGATGCTTTCGAATAGCATCTATGAGATAGATGGTTACGAGTATTGAGATATTTTAAGTGTGCCACTGCGAAATGAAATAATTTATGCAACTAACATCATTTATTATGTATCTAAGTGATAAAGAACTGTAAAGCGTTAATCTGACAGTTGCGAGATTTGAGTAACTTAAAGTAACTTACGTATCAATCAGATTGAGATACTTATCATATCTATGAAAGCCAGACTTAAAGTGCATCTATGAAAAGCAATAATTGACAGACTTCAAGTATCAATCAGATATAAGTTTTAAGATAGTTTTAGCAACAGAAATGTGAATTCAAATACTTTTAGTATCTGTGAGATATGAAACTTTTAAAAAGTTTAAACTCATGAATTCAGATACTCAAAGTATCTATGAGATACGAAAATTAAGTTGCTTTGAGTATCTATCTGAGAAGTAACTGAGATACTTTGATACAGTTGAGATACTTTCGTATCTATGATATGCCAGATTTGTAACAAGACTATTGAGATACGTTGACTATCTATTATATATATAGAAAGAACTGATAGATAAAGAGCTGAGATATTGTAAGTATCTAGCAGATGCGAATTGAAGCCTCAAGATACTTCTCGCCTCCGACAGATGCAAATATTGAAATACTTTAACAAAAATTAGATACTCTCAACGTATTATGTGGATAAAGAGCTGATGCTGGTTCGTATCTGTCAGATGCGAGAATTGATGATATCTAGCGACCAAATAAATTACCTGCAATTTGGCCAAGACACAGAGGCAACAAAGCTGCAGCAGCAGCAGCAGCTGAGCAATCAATTAAAATGCAAAATGCTTTGAGCTAATGACCATTGGAAGCCTCAGAACTCAGACAGACTGCAGCCGCACCCCCCCATCAACTGCCACCGCCCACTTCTTAAAGCTTGCTGCAAAAATTTAGTTTTTGTGGGTTTGAGAAATTTTATTTATTTTAAATGAAATGAAATAAAATTTATTTTATGCACATTTTATTCGGTGTTGCAGCTAAGGGATGCAATTTCTATATACTACATGGATTATTCATGCACACACGCACACACATACATATATATATATATATATACGTGTGTGTGGATATGTAGAAAATGCAACTAAAATGTTTTCATGTTTTTGCTGTTTTATATGAACATAGCAACAACTGTCTGGGGCCCTGTGCATCAACTCCAGCTGCGACTAGCCCCACACACACACGCAGAGCCTTTTTATTGCAGGGGTTGCATGCAGCATGCAGCATGCAGCCAGCAAAGTCAACATTTTGTTTTTAGTTGCATTTCAGTCTGGCAAAATTTTTGCCATTTGATTGCATTTTGTTTTGCTCTCTCTCTCTTTATGTGTGTGTGTGGGTGTGTGTGTGTAGAGTTTTGTTGCAATCTGCTGCTGTAGTTAGGTGTTGCACACACACACACGCACAGCTGCATTCAGTTGCATGCAGAAAAACGCATTTTGCTGCATTTTCTCTCTCTCCCTCTCTATCACCCGCTCGCTCTTTCTCTCTCTCTGTCTGTCGCACAAAAAGAGAGTTTTAGGGTGCCAAACACACAAAATTTCTACAGCAAACACACACACACCTACTATATATATATTTCTATATATATATATATTATATAGAATATAGAAATATTTTTTCTATATATATTTTACACATATATATATATTTATATTTTATATATAGCCCTGGCTGCATTTTGTTATATGCATTAAAATGCGTTTTTTAGTTTTTGTTTTGCACAGCTAAAAATAATCACAAAATCCTTTTTTTCTT